GCACGCCAGGCAGACTGGTTCAAGTGGTTAATCCGCCCACTCTTACCACTATGTTTCAGTGGTAAGAGTGGTTCATGACTGGTAAGAATACGGTTTTCGGCACTGGCAACGATTCTTACCACTCTTTCCCTATCCCCACAGCACAGGCGGTGCAGCCGGGTCGTGCGCGACAATTTGTACCTGTATTTCCTTCGCCTCGGGAACACATCTGCACACATCGCGCTGCAATTGAGCAACGATAAAATCCGTCACTCTTTTTAGACGAGACACACATCACTCTGGCAGTTCAAGTGACATTTACCAGCCACAGTGCAGTTACAAATCGGTCTTTTTGAGGCTGTCTTCGACACGCATAAATCTTTGCAGTCCGTCTATGAGCATTAACACCTGAGCTTAGCTTAACCAGGCATTTAGGCATTTGTCGAACTTTCGTGTGCGGTAGGAATACAAGGGGAAAAGGTCTTGGGAGGGAAGTTCCAACACCGCAAAATTGTTCATATTCATCACTTAGACTTAATTTAATTAACGCTGTTTTGCCATTTCGCGCTTGGGTTGGACGGCTGGGCAGCGCGGGGCAGCCGCTGTATGTACATACACTCATGACCCTGGCCGGAGGAAAAATTAAGATCAGTGGGAGCGGGCCGCGTTGGACCTACTAGGCAGCGCGTCGTGTTACCCCCGTGCAACGGCCTAAAAGTCCAAACCGGTTCCCAATGAAAACATGGGGCGCTGCCGCTGCCCGGCGGGGCAGGCCGGGGAGTGAGAGAGCAGACCGCCTCACCGACACCGACCCACCCCTGGCTGCGCGCCGCGCGCCCTCACCTGGAGCCAGACCGGGCCCGGGGCCTACCGGCCGGGGCCTCTCTGACCGGCCGGGGCCTACCGACCGGGGCCGTGCCGGGGGGCCGGTCGAGCGGCTCAGTAAGCTAGGCACTGCGTTAAAAGTCAGATTGGGCAACGCCTACATCCGCCCAGTCCTCACATACGCCGCTCCGGCCTGGGCGGGCCTCCTGTCAGACACCAACCTGTACCGGCTACAGGTCATACAAAACAAATACCTCCGGCTGGCAACAAATGCCAAATGGATCACCAGCACAGCCACAATACATCAGACAGCGAGTACACCACGGCTCGGTACATTCACGGTGGGGTTACTACAGAAATACTACACTAAAACACAAACACACAACAACCCACTCGTGGCAGGGCTCGGGCAATACACCCCCGAAACAACACCATACAAATACAAACACAAAATGCCCAAACACATGTTATTTCAAATTGACACATAAGCACTTGCGCTCGCACTCCCTCTACTGTTGTATATATCTGTACCTGT